CGCCCGCGCTACCTCTAGCTGACCCCTCGCTTGCCTCTCTGGGCCTCAGTTTCCCCCACAGCGAGGAGGAGGGAGGGGTGCTGCGGCGACTTCTCTACAGCGCTCCCGCTCGCCCCCCCCCGCTGTCCTCTCTTCTGAAGGGGCACGCCGCCCTCGGGGAGCCCCCCGCGGCTGGAGGGAGCAACCCCCATGTCACCCCGAAGTGGGGGCAGAGGGACAGGGATCCGGGAAGCCTCGGCTTCCTCAGCCTTGCAAGGGGCTCCCACTTCCATCGCCATTGGCAAACGGGGTCACCGCAGGGGAGCAGGACTGATGCGCTCCTTCCCTTCGCTCCCTGGGCACAGTGTGACCGTTCTTGGGCATCAGAGAGTCCTGGGGCTCCCCACTGTCTAGCCGGGTGAACTTTGTGAGCCTCAATTTTCTAGTCTGCAAAATGGGGACAGTAGCACCCACCTCCTAGGACTATTATGAGGATAAAGTGAGCTCCTAGGAGTAAAGTGCTGACACTGGGCCACCTGCATTGCTAAGTGCTCCCAGAATGGTAACTTAGGAATAAAGAAGCCAGGGACTGTCCTGAGACTCCAGGCCAGTGCTCCAGGCACAGCCCCAAGCTGGCACCAATGTCTTGGTCCTGAGATGCTGCTGTTATTGAGCCCAGCTCTGAGCCGGGTGGCGTCTGAGCTCTGAGCAGCCAGACAGGTGGGTGGATGGGGTGAAGTGAGTCTACTCCCCAGGACCAAGCTGCCATGCCTCTTCCTGTTTGGCTGGTAGTTAGCCTTGAGGACACCGTTCCGGTTCCGTGGTGTGCCTCCAGCCCATCATCTGCCCTCAGTTTCTCCTAGACCCGGTCCAGCTCCAAGGGGTCTGCAGTGCCCAGGTCTCAGAGACCAGCTGGACATGCCCCTCCCTGTTTTATAGATGGGGAATCTGGCTCAGAGAGGGAAGGGGCACAGCGCGTCTGTGGCTCCGTGGCCCCATCCTTCCCTGCTGCCTGGGGATTGCCTCTTGGCAAAGGGTCCTGGAGAACATCCAGTCTAGAGATTTCTTTTTGTTTTCTTAGCTGCAGAGCTTCCATGTATATGAAATACGATCAAGCCTCTCTGCCACTGATGGGGTCTAAGACTGGGGTCTAGGAATGGGGCATGGGTCAAAGTCAGACCCCATCAGGAGCAGCTAAAGGAAGAAGGGGCTGCTTAGTTCTGCGGCCTGATCAGGTCTTCGAGTCTCAGAGCTGGCTAGAGTGAGGGGCCGGCAGGACCAGGGGGCCAGCATGGAGTGTGTTCTCAGGGGCAGAGCCAGGGCCCATGGGGAAATTCCAGAAAGCAGGTTGGGAGCAGCCAGAGCTGCCCTAGGAGGGCTCCCCGGGCGGGACATGCAGACAGGGCTGGGTAGCCACTTGGCCACTCGGGCCAGTGTGCTTTTGACTCCAGCCTCCCCTGCTTGCCTCCCCACCCTGTACCCTCAGAGTGTGCCTCGTTTTCCCATCAATCTCCCACTGAGAAACAAGGTTCTTCTTCTCATTTTGCCGATGGGGACATGGAGACTCAGCGTCTCCAGTTATCTGCCCCAAGACACCCCGCTCTAGACAGTTTAGCTCAGCAGTGGTGTGTTGAGCACCTACTGTATACTAGGTCCTATCCACCAAACCCAGTACCCCGCAGGGCCCAACTCCTGCCCAATGAGCTATGGCTCCTTGGGCCCTGGAGAGGGACTGTTGGGCTCACCATGGTACCCCAGAGCCTGGCACAGTGAATATCGTGTACCGAAGACATGAATGAGTGAATCAGTGGATGGGAGTTTAGGGGAAGGATTGTGGGGCCTAGGGCTAGAGGCCTAGGGCTAGAGCCCCACCACTCATGACCTTGAGCGCTAACAAGCACTACTACTAAGTACCACCTGTGTAGCTGACCAACCTCAGAATCCCAAGCTCTCTCGCAAAGACATTGTGAACCCCTTTTACAGATGAGGAAACTGAGGCTCAGAGAAGACAAGTTCCTGGCTCCAAGTCATCCAGAAATAGTCTTCGAACCCAAGTTAATCACTCCTGCCAGGGCCTCCGTTTCCTCCTCTGTCCAGCAGGATAAGCCCCACCGAAAGCCCTGACACCACTGTCCCCGACAGGTGGCCTGAGTGTGGGCGACTTCCGGAAGGTGCTGATGAAGACAGGTCTGGTGCTGGTGGTGCTGGGCCATGTGAGCTTCATCACAGCCGCCATGCTTCATGGCACGGTGCTGCGCTATGTGGCGGCGCCCCATGATGCCATGGTTCTGCAGTACTGTGTGGTCAACATCTTTTCCGTCACCGCTGCTATCGTGGTATGGCCAGGCCAGGAGGGTGGCTTGGCGGGAGGAGGCTGGAGGGGGCTTGACAAGTTCACACCCAGAGCCAGTAGTGGGTAAGCAGAAGGCCCCGAGCTCTAATGCTTGGTCTGCCACTTAGCAACTGCCCACGTCACCCAGCCTCTTTGCCTCGGCTTCCTCGTCTTTAAGATGGGGTCAGCAACAGTATTTACCTCCAAGGGTCCCAGTGAGTACTGACGAGATCGCCCCCATCAAGTGCTCACGGTTAGTGCTCACGACTGTGACCTTATTACAGCAGAGAAAAAGCCAAAGTACCGTTGGACAGAAGGAAGGAGCATCGAGTCGGCTTGAGTGGGTCCAGGAGGGTTTCACAGAGGTGGAGGCCTCTGAGCTGGGTACTGATGGCTGAGTATGGGCTGCCATGACCATAACCTCAGTATGCAGCATGCTGGGGCTAGCAGGCAGAAAGGGAAGCTGAGATGGCAGTCCGAGTACAGAGGATGGGAGATGAGAGGTGTTGGGGGAGATGGTGAAAGCCTGTTCCAGAGACACTGAAAAAACCAATTTGGCAGGAGCTTAGCATTAGACCTGGTCTATAGTAACTGCTCAATAAATGGCAGCCCTGATTGTGACTGGATAGCAGCACCTGTTTCATTACTATATGAATTCAGGGGCCTGGTGGCCTCAAGTTTATAAAGGTCTGTCTTGCCTGTCAGCAGAGGTGGCTGCAGCCTATGGGGAACATTCACACGCACACCAGGGTCTGCGCTCCATTCCTACACCTTCCCGCCAAGGGACTTCTCTCTCTGAGCCTGTTCCATCCCCTGCAGAGTGAAGCTTAGGCAGCCTGCTGGCCTCAAGCCCTGGGGGAATGGGATCCTAGACTCAATGGGTACAAAGAGCCTTGTCAGAAGGACAGGGCTGGGCTGTGCAGATATGTCAGTGTCCTTAGAGTTACTGCTATTGTCTGTTCCTCTCACCAGCCTGGCCAGGAAGGCAGCGAGCTCGGGGTCAGGAGGTCCACCTGGATGGGCTCAGGGCTGGACCACTTCAGCTTTGCCCTCGTGTGCTCGGTTCACCCTTACCACTCCCGGCAACATGGGACCAACGTTGTCTCATTTCACAAAAAAGGAAACCAAGGCTTAGGGATTCACCCAACCTCCTGCTGATACAAAGAAGCCAAACCAGATTTGAACCCATCTGCAGAGCCAGGCTTAGCCCAGAGAGGCTGAGGCACTTAGGTGTGGCTGCACAGCAACCTACACATGTTGGGCCTGGAACCCGGGACCCCCTTTGAACCACCTGCTTCCCCCACGGGAGTGTCCAGCCCAAGCCTGGTTCAGTGAGGGAACTTGAGGACTGACTGGGTGGAGCCCAAGGCTCTAGAGGGCAGCAGCTGGGCTGAACAGTGGGGTGGCCCCACCCCCCAGGGAATCTGCACAGACCTGGGCAGGGCTGGAAGGATGTGTACAGGCCAAAGAAGGGTGTTCCTGCTGTGAGGGTGTGTGGGCAGCATCCTGGGCAGGCCACGTGGGTGTCCACATCCAGGGCAGTGAGGGAGAAGAGGGGTCTGGGTGGGGCTGAGACACCAACAGGGCCGGGGCCAGGTCACTGAAAGCCAGGGACAATTAAAAATACTCCCAGGGATTTTGAATTCTACTCCCACAAAGTGTTTTTTTTTTCTTTTATGAGGGGGAGTCGGAGTCTCATTCTGTCGCCCAAGCTGAAATGCGGTGGCACACTCCCGACCACCGCAGCCTCGATCCGCTGGGCTCCGGCGATCCTTCTGCCTCAGCCTTCCAAGTAGCTGGAACTACAAGTGCGCGCTACCATGCCCGGCTAATTTTTGATTTATTGTAGAGATGAGGGCTCACCAAGTTGCCCAGGCGGGTCTCGAACCCACAGGATCAGGCGATCCACCTGCCTCAACCTCCCAAAGTGCTAGGATTACAGGCTGAGCAACCAAGCCTGGCCCAAAATGTTTTAGTAGAACAATTTTGGTTTTAGTTCCTTGCCAGTGGGCCCCTTGGCTTCTTTCAGAACTTTTATATTCCAGAGAGGTGTGTCACATGTATTCTGTGGCCCTGGGATGCAGAGGTCCCTGTTTGAAACTCAGCTGCAGGCAGTGGGGAGTTATGGTAGGTTGTGGGCAGAGAAACATCACTCCAGCTGGGCTCGATGGCTCAGCCTGTAATCCCGCGCCTTTGGGAGGCTGAGGTGAGTGGATTGCCTGAGCCCGCAGGTTTGAGACCCACCTGGGCAGCAAGACCTCATCTCTACAATAAAATTTTTTAAAAAATTAGCCGGGTGTGGTAGCACGCGCCTGTAGTTCCAGTTACTCAGAAGGCTGAGGTGGAAGGATCGCCGGAGCCCAGCAGGTCGAGGCTGTGGTGGCCGGGAGCAGCCACTGCACTCCAGTCTAGGCAACAGAGTGAGACTCCAACTCAAAAAAAAAAAAAGAAACATCACTCCAGGTTGGCCCATGAGGAGGCAGAGGCTCTGTGTAGATGGAGATAATGAGGCCAAAGCGAGGTGGGGAGTGGAGGGCCAGGTTGGCACTGGTGAGATGTTATCCGATAGCCCTGAACCCCGCTCCCCTCCAGTGGGCTCCCCTCCAGTGGGGTCGGAGCTGACAGGAGCCTCCCCAACAGGTCATCGCCTCAGGCATCTCAGCCATCGTGTTGTCCCGCTTCCTCCCCAGCACTCCCCTGGTATGTGGTGCCTCCCAGGATGGGGCTGAGGGGAAAAGGTGGGGTCCTGGCCCACTTGAGGGGGTGAGGCTGCCATGGGGGCCAAGCCTGACGTCTGTTAACCAGTGGCCTTCTCCGTCCAGCGCTGGACAGTGTTCAGCTTGAGCGTGGTCTGTGCACTCCTCTCTCTGACCTGTGCCCTTGGCCTCTTGGCTTCGATCGCCGTGACCTTCGCCACCCAGGGCCAAGCACTGCTCGCCCCCTGCACTTTTGGGAGACCTGAACAACTAGCTCTCACGCCCAACTGTCCCTTCGACCCCACACGCATTTACGTGAGTTCCTTGGCCTGGGATGGGGGACACCTGGTCCTCAACAGAGGTGGGAAGGGTTCCTGGAGTCCCTCCACCCCTAACCCCAGACAGTCATCTCTGCTCCCTGTCCCTGCAGAGCTCCAGCCTGTGCCTCTGGGCCATCGCACTAGTGCTGTGCGTGGCGGAGAGCGTGTTTGCTGTGCGCTGCGCCCAGCTCACCCACCAGCTGCTGGAGCTGAGGCCCTGGTGGGGGAAAAGCAGCCTCCCCATGGTAAGTGCCCACCACAGCCCTGATTCACATGTTTCCTGGAAGTCCCTGCTGGGGAATCCCAGACTGGCATGCCCCACCCCTCCATCCAGGGCCCCCACCTTAAGGTCTGGGGTAAAAGTTTTCTCCCTAGGGGCAAAGGGAGAGGCTTGGAGGCTCAGAGAGGCCAGATCTCCCATCTGAGTCACACAGCTGACACAGGGCGTTCCCAGGGCCCAAGATGGGTTTGAGGGAGAGGCAGGGGCAGCTGGGCTCAAACTGGGGGCTCTCCAAGGGTCTGGCCTGGCTCCTGCATAGGTGTGGGTGGCTATGCCCCTTAGCCCCCAGAGAGACTTCCGGCCCTCCCCTCCTCCCATTCCCTGGGTGTCCAGGAGGAGACTCCAGGCCCAGATCTAGTGGGCCTGGCAACCTCCTGTGTTTGCAGATGCAGGAGAGCCCAGAGCCTGTGGAGGGCCGTGACCTGCTGAGCTGCACCAGCGCCGAGCCGCTGACTCTCTGAGAGCTGATGTCTCGCCGGGGCCCCATGGCTACCAAGTCTGCACTGTGACCAAGCCAGGATTCCTGGAGCTAGCCCAAGAGGGCTCAGTGGAACTTCGGGGGCCTGAATGGGGCTTTCAACCCCCTCCCCCAGTCACCCAGCCCATTGCACTGAAACAAGACTTTATTCTGAAGTTATTAAAAAGAACAGAGATGCTCCACTTGGCTGCATGCGAGGGTGGGGGGCACGGGGGCTCAGCCAGGGGGCCTGTGCTTTCCCAAACAGGGCGTTGTGCATGGGGCTCTAGGCGCATCTGCCCATCTGTCTGTGGGCCTGTGTGTGTGTGTGAGAGGTGAAACACAGAGGGACCCGTGGGTCTGTGTGTATCCAAGTGCTAAAAGGTAGGCAGGGCTTGTGGGACCCACAGGGGGAGGGATGGGATGCTGGGAGGTTTTCCTTTTGCATCACGACCTCCAGACCACCAAGGGCTGGGGCAGGAAGGACTGGGGCCCTCCTTCAGGGACAGATGGCTCAAGGAGGCTTCTTCCTCAAACCCCTCACCCCTGGAATCCTTTCCCCTCCAGAGAAAAAGACAGGCTCCTCACCTGAGCATGACTCCCCCCTGCTAGAGACCTACCAGAGGGAGAGCCTGCCTGGTTGGAGGAGGGATCTGGCCTCGTGGCTGTGGGTGGCTGGGTGGGTGGGGTGGGGAGTGCCGGTGTCTAGGTAAGGGGGGCTGGCTCTGAGGGGCAAATCAGGCCAGCCTTTGTCTCTCTAGCATTGCCTCTTGGACTGGGGGGTGCTAGCCGCTTGCTTGCTTGCTTGGGCCTGGGGGGACTGCAGGGTTCCCTCCTCCAGAGGGCCCCCATAGGGCAGACCCGGGGAAGGGGATCCCCAGTCTGGCCCCCAGCCTGGATAGACACAAGGGAGAGGAAGCTGAGAGCCGGGAGGGGGCCGGTGAAGGCAGGGAAGAGGGGGGACCTGGCTCCTCGGGCTCAGAACTGGGAGGCGCTGCTGGGGTCGCACTGCAGCAGGCGCACGATGGACGGGTCGCTTTTGGCCCCGCGGATGAACTCCTCCAGGGACAGCTTGCCTGCAGGGCGAGGGGAGCGGTGATGGGGAGACGGCGGCAGCGAAGCCAGGGGAGGCGGGGCGGGAGGGGAAGAGGGAGTGCCGCCCGCCCAGCCCGTCCGCCCCGTCCCGCCCCCGCCCCTCACCGTCGTTGTTTGTATCCATTTGGCGGAAGATTTTCTCAGTCCTCTTCTCCGGGGTCGACTCGTCCTCTGGCATCTTCATCACGGACGAAACCATCTTGTAGATGGCCTGGGGGGCGGGAGAGAAGGCAGGGAGTGAGAGGAGCCTGCCCGAGCGCCCACCCC